TGTGCACTGACCCTCAGATCTTGCCATCTGTGCTCATACATCCCTAAAATGGCAACAAATGCTGTGTGCATTGTCTTTTGTCATTGAACAAGTGTCGAACGGGTGCAAAAGATCTCAGAATTGTTGGGTGTTCGCCACGATCCTCTACACTCTTGTATGTCAGGGGATGACTCCCGGGTCCCCATGACCCTCCCCTATGGCCCACAGCCTCAGGTCTGGCCAGCCCTATCCAGGGCACAATCCTACTGTGGGTAAGGAGATGAGAAGGAAGCTAACTTCTCATCTTCCCACAGTGGCCACAATATCAGCAAAACTTCTGGGGATACCCGGAAGTCACATGAAGGGGTAGGAACTGGGCCCAGAGCATGCGGCGCATGGAGTGTGCACATGTGTGGGAAGCGTGGCAGGTGGAAGTGGGTCCGGACGCGGGTCTGGGTCCGGGCTAGTCAGGGTGTGTGCCCTGACATCGTATCGTGCACTATCCTCTTGTCCAATCTGTATCAGTGGGACCGTATTCATATCCACTGTCCAGCAACCACGCACCCCTCAATCAGTGCTAAAGCGACATCAGAAATGGTACAGTTGGGCTGGGACTTCAACCTGATGTGTGCCCTCGCCACTGCCTGCCGCTGAATATCCAATACCCAAAGACCTTTATAAGACCAGTGCCCATGCTATACATATATTCCTCAGCGCTGAGTGAGCACCAGTAATTGCCCTTCTTTGCTGCAAATCGCCCCATTTGGTGTCTGTTCCTATTGGTATGTACTACAGCTACACACATGAATATGCAGCTGAGTGCATGTCTCTCTTACAGGTCAGCTACTGGCATAACTCGGCCAATATACCCACACTTGTTGGGGGAGACCTATCCCGTTCTGCTCCTTTGACCCGAACCCATTAGTTTCTTTAGCAGCTACTCCCATGCCGAGGCATAAGCCTGTAATTCCACCCCTTACTACTTCGCCTGTGAAAAAATATCAGCCATATAATTTAAAAAGACCTAAAAAATATGCTGATTTCCTTGGCCCCCAATCTGCACCTGAATCCAAACCCTCAATGTCCAAAAAGAAAGGACATAAGCATGTCCCAGCCACTGAAGTCCCTATTTCCCAGCTGTCATGACACGTTGAGATAGCAAATGCCAGCGGCACCATGATGACGCAATGCTGGGGGCCTGGCATTGAGCCTACGCATTGGTGGCAGGTGCCAAATCACCACGATCACATAGGAAATGCAATGTCAGTGGATGCCAGCAATGTTTCGACTCCCCCTTCAACGCCAGCTCTAAAAAGGAATCACCAATATGGGAAGCATCCCCTCAGGGTTGGCTGGAAAATATCGCAGAGCCCACTCCTTCGGGCCCAGACACTGCTCTGTCCCCTACACTGTTGCAGTCAGCTTCCCGAAAGTGGGCCAAGAGAGCATTATGAAATCTGCAAAAGCAAGTTGCATGGCTCCATTGGTGCCGTGATGTAATACACAAAGCAGTGGAAATCTATCTAGGTCTAGAGGCGAAGAAGGCAGGACGCATGCCCCTTGCCGCCCCCAGCGAGACATCATATGATAGAAACGGAAAACTGCAAACACCAGCAGCATCGCTGTGCTCCCACTGCAATACATCTTTCCAGTTTCATTCACTCATGATGGTTGCATTCTCAGGTACATTTGCATTCTGACCTCCCTTAGCAGTGTCCCAATGACCCCAAGCCAGGTGCCATGTGGCAGACGTTCGAATATTGCAAATGTCCATCCAATACTCTCCTGCTTAGCATCATCCAGTCTGGCTACTTTCCAGGGTCACCTGTAACGCCCCAAGTTGCCTTTCATTTCGACATCCTTTCGCTGTATTCAGCTTTGCATGTGGACTCGTACACCCTGATTGCCTCCTTTCATGCCGCTTTGTTTGCCATGTTATGAGAGAACGGTTATGAATTCACCCACAATGTAAGATCTATTTGTTGCATGTCGGGAGTTGGCACCTTCATGATCTGGCACGCATATAGGACCCCTTTCTGCAGTCATTCAGCAAGGTGATAACATGGTTTCAAGCCCTATGTGACTCGGTAGAGGTTGAAATGGAGAGAGAGTTTCTCCTACCCACATCCCCTGCAGCACCCAATGCACCACTATGTCGTTCCATGCCAGTTGAGTCCACTGCATTTACCCATGTCGCTCCTGCCCACAACGGCGATCCATCGGTCACTGCATCCCATGGCATGATGACCGTTAACCACAGCATCCCAACCTCCATAGGGATGTCACCGGACCTTCCATCGATGGTCCATGAGTGAACAAAGCTGATTCGCAACCTGTCCGACAGCAGCGCAAGTCCATACCTCTGTGCGAGATGCCCGCAATGTTTTGGAGGCTCGATGTGGGGCAATTCAGCCAACGAGTTAGTCCTCTCATACATATGCTTCGGGAACAGGTATACTAAGCGATTCCCTAGATATCCTGATGTCATCATCGCCATGGATGGTAATATGCAACATAAGCAATACATGTTCGTTGGAGGAGAGATGATTCTTCCCTGGAATGAAACTTGCACATTCCTCACCGATGCCAAAATCAAGGAAGCTGCCTGCCATATCTCTGATGCATGAGCTGCATCTAGAGGCTGTTCGGAAGTATCTCATCCCTCATCCCTTGTACCAGATGGTGCTATTGATAAATGTGAAGAATCACACAGAGCCACGAAACGTGGAAAGCAGTCAGCCTCAAAACGGATACCTTCCGTTCGAAGGGCCTGATGGCAACTGTATGCCATCATGACATCCCCCTTTTCCTCTGTGATGTATGCACTCTGGGTGAACAGCAGCACTTTTCGATTGCCATGCTCCTTGCACATAGCCGCCAACTACCCTCAAATGCCACTATTGGATTAATGTATGATGTTAGGTGTGTTCTTGATCAATCGATCACCAAGGTATGGCCTCACATGGTCTGCAACTACAACCTCTGATATTTGAACAAAGTACAATCTTATCCCTGAAATCGCTCCTAGATTGAGCATCGCCGTTTCAGTCTTCCATGCCTACACACATCAATTCTGTTGTCAAATCGCATTTCACCCCTGGAAACGAAATGGGTTTGGAAAGTCAAATGGGGAAGGAAATGAGCGATTATGGTCTTTGATTGTTGATACAATTGTGCCTGAATGCATAATGAGTGTGAGTCCCAACACTGTTCAGTCGACAACCCTCTCTTATGCAATGTTGTCCCAAAACTATAGCTGGCAAAACAAATCACAACTATCGACAACAAAATCAAAATGATTGGGTGCCGTGGCCGAGACTGCCTTGCTTCATTGGCTAGGTCCAAATTGGCCGCCATTGTTCATGAGGAGGCACTTCTAACTGACCTCCTGCAAGATTTGAAGAGTAGAGGGGATTCACAACTCCTTTCCTTCAATCCCAGTGGGAAGAGCAAAAGTCTTTGCAGCTCTCCGTTCGAGCCTGTATGCCCATTCCCAATCTCATGTTCGGTGTTGACTTATGCTGTTATGCCCTAGACAATGATCAAGCCAGAATGAAAAAGTTTGCCAAACTTTTGGAAGCCAAACAATCAGCCCAGGCACATTTGGACACATTGGATGCCATAAAGAAGGAGCTGGACCGAATCAGCTTTGCATGAACACTGTCCCATAGTCCTATCGATCTCATGGAGCATGTATGATCGTTGCATGATAAATCTCAAGAATGCCTACACAATCTGACAGCTCAAATTGGCCTGTCCGATTTGAAACTTCCGCAAAATCTGTCATATCCATGCAATCCCGACCTCCGCTCCGGGCTCCCGGAACTCCGAACTCCGACTTCCGGAGCCCTACTTCCCTTCCGTCACCTTCTCCTTGCCGACTCCCAAGAGGTTATCCCACCTCCGGCTCGGACACCACCTTCGGTCCGACTCCGGAACATTCCGGGTCCGACCCCAACCTCGACACCTTCCAGACGAGTACGCAAAACCTATGCTCCCAACTCCGGGCCTCCGCTCCGGTATTCCGTTCACGTCTCGTCTCCGGAACCTCCGGTCTTAGCTCCGACCTCGGACTTTGACCCCACCTCCGCTTATACCCATTGTATTGGTTAGCTCATTCCATTTAATTACCTTTGCCAATATTCCGGAGTTTAACCTCCGAGTTCGGACTTTCCGGACTTACTCCGGACCTTGCAACTATTGCATTGTCCATTTCAATTCCGCTATTCTCCCTCATTCCTATTTGGGCTGCTGCTTCCTTTCTATTCAGTCAGCTAGCCATTCCCGACTCCCATCCTCCTTCCTTCCTTCTTGGGTCTTGGCCCTTCATTCCTCCTTTGGGAAACACCATTGAGTCAAACACTTGACCCTCGGTGTTGTTCCTCTTTCCATCTCCCTTTGTCTCCTTTTGTCCTACCCTTGTTCCTTTTGATTCCGGACCCCTCCTTATATACAATGTACCTAGTAACTTGTAACCTCAGTCCAAAATCAACTTGAATTCCCCCCAAGAGACTTTCCCTCTGCTAGATCCGAAATTAGGGACCCCTAGGACAACCAGCAATGGCACAGCGCTCCGCACGAGTCGCTGAGGCCAAGGTCCTTCCATGATAAGTCTCCGATTCCATTCCGGAGTCGTCCAAATCCCCGCATTCTAACAAAATCCATCTAGCACAGAAAGGGACTACATGGAGAAGTACATTCTGGCCCGATTCCGCAAACATGCCATCCTTATCCGCTTAGCCAAGTACCAGGATGAGATTAACCCTCTTTGGAGCTCACAATGGTGTGGAGGACAGCTGGTTACAAAAGTCGGTAAGCATACCCCATTTGAGGCGAATTCTGATGTGCTCGAAAATTCATCTGGTACTTTGAGGATATTTGAAAATGGTCTCAGTGTTCAATAGCACAAACGACCATGCCTGTATTATTTCCACCCATGTTGCGCAATATAACGAGCTTGTTGACTGCCTCGAGCATTCTGTTAGGCCATCCTGGCTCCTGGACTCTTGAAACACGCCAAAATGAATGTCAAGGAGCTGCTTAACATGGATCCCAGTGATGAACAGTGGACAAAGATGTGGGAGAGCCTGTGGGATTCCAACTGGAACTTGGATGAGAAACCACCAGCTTTTATTGTCGACCAACAGGTTCACCATGGCATAGTAGCGGTGCTATCGCTCACTCGTATTGAGGAGGAAAAGCTTAGGCTCGCTTGAGAGGAACTTAATGCATGCACCTGGATTGTCCAATCGGTAGACTTGTTGATTCAGATCATGGACGATATTCATTGTATGTCCTACAAATTCCACATTACCAATGTGCTGATTTGTCCTCGATCCCAGCCCTGTTTAAATATCAATGGCAACTCCACCTAAAGTCATTACTCAAATGCCATGATACAATCGTGAACGGACCATTTCCCCATGTCAATCTATGGCATGCATCACCACACTATCTGCTAGCAAACCTAGAACGTCCAGACTCCCAAGCTGCACCAAGTACCGCAGAGTATTCTTCTTTCTGCCTTCCCCCCCCTGGTTCTGCCACTCTGGTCTCAGGAACCAATGGCATAGACCCCGAAGATGATTCTCAAGTTAGAAACGAGCTAAGCGCACTCGATGGACTTATCAGGATGAGCCCAGAGCTGGGTGTAGCTGATGACGATGAGCATGTTGAGCCCTACCTGTCTACCGACAGTGGCAGTGGCCCAGGCGATACTCTCGGCCCTGAGATGCCAGTAAACCCTCCAGATAGCGAACCTGAGACATGGCCAGATGAGACAATGGACCCCACAGACAATGTCGAAACACATGCTGAGCCTCTTACCGACTTGGTCCCTCCTAGTGGGTTTGGAGATGTGGATAGTCCCAGCTGTGACAAGGATATTGAGGAGAGGTTCTGGAATGAGAACCCTCGTCCCCAAAGCCTTCCTCCAATTAGAACAATCTTCGATGCCATCCACTCACCCACCCAGTCTACCCAACAACAAAAGCCAACAAAAATCTGGAAGGAAATAATGGAGTTGCATTTACCTCAAGAGACTGAAAAAGTACGAATGTTTCCAAGTTCCCCTGTGACTGATGCCACTGATGTCTCATTAGATAGTGAACAACAGCAAGACCAGAGACAAAGCAAGATATTACAAACATATTGCGATCTTCCCTGATGCACTACCAACAGTCAATTGCCAGTGGCTGATACACAGAGCAATAATCGATGCCTATGTTGAGATGCTGAAAGACCTTACAGATGAAAAGCTGCAGGACATACTCAAGACCACTCATCCCCATGTGATTATGTTTCCTACCCAGTGTGAAGGAATGAGACATTGTATGGCAGTTTGCCTGTTGGATGTATGTGGGAATACACTGATGGAATCTGTACTGACCAATATTAGCAAGCGACAAAGAAGGTCTGAACCGATCTTTTCAATGCAACCAGTTGGATGATTCCGTGTTACTCAAGGAGGCATGGTCACTGGCTGCTCAGTGTTGTCAACATCAAACAATGAGAGCTGCACTATCTTGACAGCATACCTCTACAACAAAGCACCCATATCAATTGCCACGGTCCACAGTGGGTGTTTACAGTGCATTTCCTAATTCTAGCCCACATTACAGTCTTAATGTTACCGCTTTCTTCAGATACTTCAAGGCCTAGTTAATGCCATCTGGTTGTTCATTCACCCTGATGATGAGCATGGATACAACTAGTCCAATTGGTCCACCAGAGTAATCACTGTAGGTGTGCCATCTTGCTGTATGAACATCATATACATTACAAGTCCTAGATGGAACAGCGCCAATGGAACAGGTATGATTGTGGGGTTTGGACCATGGCTGACATTCAAGCTGTACACATCGGGCTCAATGCTGCACTGAAAGACATGAACATCAATGATTTTTGGGATAGGGTGAAACACCAAATCCTTTCTATTCCTCTGTTAACACCGAGCTGGCAGCCTACCTGGAGAACCCTAAATCCTGACCTTATTTGTGAACTGCAGTGCTGAGCCGCTAAAGTGGCCACAAACTTTCCTGTTGATTATGCCCAGCTTGGAATTGATCATATGGACATTCCTTTAGTGTTGGATAATGAACAGGAAAAAATATATTTAACTGACTAGCGGAGTTTATGTATGCCGGTGTTGAGCCTCTCCTAATAAGATACTTGATGCACCAGTCAAGAGTCAAGCATTCTAGACCGATGCCAGGTAGCAGCAACCTGGAAACAATGACATGGGACACCAGGAGGCACTCTTAACCTCCTTGGCTTATGTTCCATCATTTTGAAGAACTGTCAGTTGTGTCAGGGCACACCTGCCTGACCCGGCCCCACCTGACCCGGTGCCCCACCATCCGCTCCTCCCAACCTCCCCCCTCTTCCCCTTTCACTCTTCTTTCTTCTCTTCTCTTCTCTCTCTTATCTTCTCCTTCCTCTTTATTCTTTTCCTATCACACAGATGACTTCCTTTGTATCAATGTACCATTGATCTGGCTGCAGCGCAACACGCCCGGACCCGGACACACCGGATGACCTCCTGCATACCGGACGCTCCTGGGACCTCTTGCGGAGGTACCCAGATGGATGTGGCTGTGTGTGTTGAAGGAGAGAACGAAGGAAGGTCAGTTGGGAGGCTCAAACGAGACCACCACCAAGCTGTTCCCTGGTTCTTTAGTTAGGATGGGGAAGTGTACTAGTATTATTAGTTGTAAATATAGTACCAATCCGAGTGTTTTGGCTAATTCTATTTTTATGGGTTAGTCTAAAATTTCTGGGAATTGACTTACAGATAAACCGAGCCCTGCGGAGCTGTGCCTTTATTGAAATTTCTTAATTTGTCTAGGTGTAATTTTGTGTAGCATTGTTTAATTTGGAATTTAACTTGAATTAAATCTTCTACTTGGTGAAGTTTCAAATATTCTACTCAGTTAATGGATTTGGTTTGTGTCTGGAGTGTCCCTTGAGTTTGTTTTATTTTTGTCTTATTTTATTGCTTGTTTTAACAGTAGCAAAATAACTGTTTTGTGTTTACACTTTGAAATCTGGAGTGTTAACCGCTCTCCTGTTGAAATATCTACTTAATATTTCTCTCCTTAATTGCTGCCTTTTACTACAGTGGCAATCTTAACTGTATATCACTTTTTCGCACTGGAGTGACAACCAGAAATGCTTGAGAAAATAATACTCTATTTTCTTACTTCTCTAAGGGGGGCGAAAAGTCGCAGAAAGGGTCTCCCTTTTATACTCCTTGGGTCGCCTTCCTTTTTCACGCTCTACCTCCTATTTACAGGATTTATTTACAGTGTATTTTTCTCAAACTGAATAAAAAATGAATTTTTCACACTATAGTTCTACTGCGCTCAGCTGCGCTGAACTGCAGCTCTACTGCAGTCAGACTACACCTAGAATCCTTATTGTCCTTCCTCACCTAAGCTATTTTAATGGTTAATTAAAACTTGACTGCGCTGCATTTGTCGCAGTTTCCCTATTTCAAATTCCTCATATTTACCATTAAATTTGCTATGACTCAGTGATTCTGAATTCAAACTTCGCATTACTATGCGTGCGGCTGCGCTGAGACCTTCAGCTGATTTATTCCATTTTTATTCAGTGACATTTAGTTAAAATGAGACTTGAAATGGTAAATGTGTGAATTATTCAGGTTTAAAACCGAAAGAAAAAGTTGCTAGTAGTCAAGAATTACTCAAACGAATGTATTATAGCTCTCCACTTCATTAGAATATTGTTCCCTAAAATTCCCACCATGGTCCATCATAGTTTAGTGGTTTTTGTGGATTTCGTTCATCTTCCCTGATTCCCCTTTGTATTATCACATCCTAATCCTCCATATGTATTGTTCGTTGTTATAGTAGGTCGTCCTTGAAGATATCATATTTTTATGTATTTTATTTAGGGCTCTGGACCTCTTGAAGCTGTCTTCCCATGCGTTTTCAGGTTTCTAACTTCATGTCCTTGTATCTCATTCATTTCTGGATGGTTTCTCACGTTCTTGGTACCATAAATTTTCATTTATTCCCACCTTTCCAATGGCACTAAAGTTGTGTTCTATTTCCTGGTATTCGTCGAGTTAGCAAAAGTTCGTGTGTGCATTCAGTAATCACGTGCATCGTTCCCATAGTCGTTCGTATGCAGGCGCTGTTTCTGTTTAATTGTTCGGGATTTATGGTATGTTTATATCCTTCATATGTGCTTCTGTGATCTAAGGATCTCCTCATCACTATGTCTGAGACCATGAGTGTGTTAGAAATCTCAGCAGCAATGCAGGTGCCTGTCCGCACCATCTATGATATTCTAGGGAACCCGGAAAAGCATCGTCATGGTCCCCTTGCTGAAACCCGTGGCTGACCTCGCTCTCTGAACATTCATTCTATCAATGTAACATTTCTGTGTTTGAACTGTGCTTTCCCCTGACTCCCCACTATAGTTCTTGGACAGTTTGATTGAAATGAAGCCTGATCTCTTACTCTCTGAGCTGCAGAAGTCTATCAATGACAAGTTTCAGATTGAAGTCAGTGAATGCACAATTGTTCGTGAAATGAAGTGCCGTGGTCTAACATACAAAAAGGTATTCTATCAGTATCTAACTATGGCCTTATCGCTGAAATGTATCATAGCTTCAGAAAGTAGCTGAGCGAGATGAAAATAGGCGTGCTGACTTTAGACAGTACATGGGAACAAATTATCCAGCTGAACAGCTAGTATTTGTGGATGAGACAGGAGTTAACTGTCAGACGGCAGCCCGGACCCATGGTTGGGCCCCCCATGGAGAACGTGCACGATGCCGTGACTTCTTTGTTTGCAGTACCAAGTAGGTGATCCTAGGATTTAAATGATATAGCATGAGATGATGACCATCTTACTAGGTATTCCATCCTTCCAGCAATGTCGCTGGAAGGGATTCTGTATTGTGACATCCAGATTGGGGTATACATGGCTGAAGCATTTGATCATTTTGTTGAAGCTCTTCTTGCAAAGATGAATCCTTTCCCCAGGCCAAATTCAGTCCTTGTGATGGACAATGCTCCTATTCACAAATCTAATCGGCTTGTACAAATGTGTGAAGATCAGTGAGTATCCTAATGTTTTGGGATCATTATTCTAATCCTTGTGTTACTGTAGCGGTGTCCGCTTGGAGTTTCTCCCCCCATACTCCCCAGATTTTAACCCAATTGAAGCAGCTTTTTCATCTATCAAGTTCTGGTTGCGACGTAACCAGATGTATGTCAACAATGAATTTGCATCACAGTCGCTTCACCGTGCAACAGACCTACTTCTGGGTGCAGTGTATACTGTGACACCAGAAAAGGCTCGCAGTTGGTTTCGCCATGCAGGCTACCTCTAGTATTCTTTCATAGTTCACATGAGTAATGCTATTATGCGTGCATGTGTGTGTGTCAAGTGTTACATGCAAAACAAGCTAGGTTCCTTAGGACCCCAGTTATGGGTGCCAAAATGGAGATTGTATTGGTACCCTGATTTACTGCCATTTTGGATCATCACGAGACCCGCCTGGGTCATTCATCCAAATTGGGTGTGCAGTTTTTTCTGTCGCTTGCTGTACTGAACTGGCAACCAGAACTGAAGGGGGTAAACTCTAGTCAATTTTATTACTGAGGTGTAACCTATGTACAAGTTGAGTATATATATAGTTACAACGAGAGTGGGCCTGCAAATGGCGGAGCGGAGCTAATGTGGTTAGACATCAGCTGATTGAATATTACCGACAAGTCGGGTTACAGGGTTAACGGAATGGTAGGCGATAACCCAGAAATGGAAAGGAGGGATAGGCCCGAAGGTGGGCTTGCAGGGCAAGCAAGTGTATTGCCCAGCGGAGGTGGGAGTGTGCTAGCGGACGTCAGAGCTGTCTGGAAGCCTTCGGGGCTCCGTACTTAGGGAGGCATAGGTAATAAATTGAAAAGAGGGGGTGGTGACCATCAAGAGGTACCGAGGTGATTGCAGAATACAGGAGCTCCGAGGTTAGTGAAGAAGGAGCAGAGGTAGACTGGAGGGATCGGAGGGAGTGGAGGTCGATGGCCAGGGATGGATATGACAGGGTAGTGGCATAGAAAAACTATGAATGCGCAGCTTACCGATGGGGCTGCTCAAGCAGCTTGATCTACAACTTGAAATAGATCCTTGTGGTTTCGGAATGTAAGATGCCCTGGTGGATATGTAGACAGAAGCTGGTCAATGGATTTAGCACTTGCATGTGTCCAGATGAGCTCATCTGCGAAAACGTAATCATTATAGGATGCAAATGGACGAAATGGCATGGAACTTGGTGAGGGAGAGTCTTCCTGGGGAGCCGATGTGAGTTGTGAGCTTTCTGGTTCGAGGAGACAGGAATGTGCAGATGCGCGGGGATGTTTCACAAGCTCTACTGATGCTCCTGAAGTCTCCAAACCTAACACTGGTTAGAAGTAGAGGCAGACAAATGCTGCTGGGACATACTTTCCAGGAGGGCACCCATATTCCCCAGAGGAGAAGGTTGACCATCACGGTCAAGGGAGTTGTCAGAAGCATTGTTCCCACGGGGAAAATCAATAGACTTGACAGCTGCAAAAGGCATGTACCAAAAACAATATCAATATTAGTCAATTGACAGTTGTGCTCACCATTGCGCTTCGCGTTCAAGATGGCCTCACTAAGGATATAGGCCTCCAGCTGCCACTGCTGGTGGGTGATCCATGCAATCTCCTTCTTGCATGCACATTTCTCCTCGTGTGCTTGATGTCGCTGTGGGGTCAAGCCTCGAGAGCAGTACTGGCACATCTTGGTTTCGTTTGGCTCATATACCCAATCCATCTTCTTTTCATCAACCCACCATCCCATGATTTTTCGCTATCCTTGATGCGAACTTTAGTTCCGTTGAGTAATGAACAAGATGTAGATATGGAAGAAAACCCGATGTGTTTGTACCTATGTTAAAAAATTCGCTGCACATGTCATCTGGATGTCCAGAGTGATTCCACCTTACCCACCATGAAAGTGTGGTAAATGAAACTTGTGTGAGCAGTACAGTGAGAAAGGGTGGCGAGCGAACTGGCTGAATAGGCTGGGTGATCCCGAATCCAGGAATCAAATTCAGAGGATCTACATCCACCGACATCACCTGGGGACACATGCTCCATCCTCCAAAAATGACGCAAACAATGAGTGACCTGCACCGAAGCCCCACACCAGCTTTTTCATCAATGGGTGATGTGAGGGAAAATTCAACTGGAATAACATCATTAGCTGAGGCAATCAAAGTATGTAATCCTAACTCACCCACCCATGGGTCCGCTACTGAGGTGCCCTCAAAGGTCATAGATGAGCTGCAGGCGGAAAATTCAAGTTTGAAGAGGATGGTTAGAGAATTTGAATGGAACCCTCGTCCATCCGAGGAAGAAGCCATCGAAACCAGTGCTGCTGATATTCAGTTAAACGATATCAGGCACTTTGGGAGAATGTATGCTTACACAGTCAACATGTTTATGACTCCAAAGGAGTGTGCCCCCAGTAAGGAGGCGGAAGATTATGATCCCTCACTGCGATTTGGGACACACAGGAAGGAGGGGAACTTCCGTGAACTGGCAGGCCTAATCCCCAGAGAATTCAAGGAAGACCTGGAGAATTGGAACAAGTTTTTCGTGAAACATGTTGAGTTCTTTTGCAGGTGTCATTGAATATCGGAGTTGACCAACCTATCATTAGTTCATATATGGTGTTGGAGAAGTTCAGCATTGGGGGCTAAATACGCTGAAGGGGAATGGACTAGCTGTTCTGTTCCTGTTCTATCAAAATGATGAAACCCCACTTCACAAGCACCACAAAGCCAAAAAACTCCTCAATATATCGGATGACAAACCATATGTATGGGCATGCCCACTCATTTTCCCACCCGGTAAAAGCAAACAACCATCGCTAATTCTACATTCACCTTATATCTTGAAGGTGCACACCTGGCAGCTCTCACGTTAGCTGCCAAAAGGTAGATTGTCAGTGCAGAACACTTATCTTTGATATTGTAGGCGATTTGTTTCCTATTATTTTCAGGTGCTCTCCCCGAGTTAGATGCCGAAGGTGAAGTCATTTCAACAGCATGGGCAAACAGTGCAACTAATGTCATTGCAAAGCAGTGGAAGATTAGGAAGGTGACTGTTGGCATGATTGCTAATGCAGCAATTTTAGTAAGTGATTGTTGACATTAGGACTATTTCACCAGTTATTGATAAGGATGGCCATAGATATACAGTGCCCCAAAAAACTGTTGCAATGTTTTGCACTTTTCACTTTACAAGCTTATTGCACCCTGGGAAGGGATCCTAAAATTGCATAAAAATATGGAAATAATGCGCTAGTAGCTCATTAATAGCTCCACCAATTCTCTAATAAATGTGTCCATTTTTGGTAAAGTTATTTACTTTACAAAGGACCCATGTCATTGCAACGGTTTTTTGGTGTGCATTTTGGAGAAAGGAAAATCACATTAACTAGTATTTAGTATAGCCACCTTTTTCCCTAAGTACTGTCTCAATCCTCCTAGGCATACTCTTGATTAAATTCTGGGAAATACTTGGTTCTATCCTCTCCCACCCCTCCTGAAACTGATCCCACAGCTCATGGACACTACTTGGAGGTTCTTCATACTCCCCAAGCTTCCTCTTTACATGGTTTTGGATTAAGGTCTGGGGACTGGGAGGGCCACTCCATGACCCTGATACCATGGTTATTGAACCAGTTCTGAGCCCTTTTGCTGGTGTGTTTTGGGTTGTTGTCCTGTTGGAAGAGGATGTGGGCTGGGTTTTTGTCATAATATGAGAGGGTGTTCTGGAAGTCCTCTTCCAGGATTTGGCAGTAGAGCTCTGCATACATCTTCCCATTAATCTTGCATGCCATTCCAACTCCATCTGATGTCATACATCCCCAAACCATGACAAAACCACCACCAAAATTTTTTGTTCCTTGCACCAGCCTGTCTGTAAGAGGTTCATCCACCCATTTCCACACCCATTTCCTCCCATCTGATCCCAAGCAATTCACCTTAGTCCCACCAGACCACACCACTCTCTTCCAATCCTCCAGAGTCCACTCTTTGTGGCTGATTGTGAAGTCCATTCTCTCCATCTTATGATGTCTGCTGAGCATGGGCTGCTTCGTCTTCACCACTGCTTTCTGTCAGGGACTGCATGTCAGTTCACGGCGATAAAGGTGTTCCCGAGAATCCTAGTCGTTGTTAACGCTGAGGTGCCACCCTCAGCAAAGATAGGAGTTATATACATGGGTACCGCTACCCACTAGAGTGTGGCTACAATGAGATAGAAGATAACCGATAGAATGACAACATGAAAAGATAGCTATTCATTCGGATAATCATAAGCGAGGTGTGGGAAAGGGGTGACATGTGGACGGAAGATAGGAAGCGGGAGCTAAGCGAGAGCTAAGCAAGATTACCTGCGTTCTTCGGATCACTCCGGATCGTCTTACGGCAACTCCCTTCCAGCATAGGGAGTCAGGGTAGCTGGTTAGGCCGTGCCCTGACACTTTCCAACCAGCCTCCTTTAGTTGCAGATGAACAGCCTCAGTTGAGAGGCTGGTGCTGGTGACTTTTTGAAGAATTTGGGTGACTTGTGCAGCATTGTTGGCTTTACCAGAGTTGATAAGATGCATTGCATGATGGATATTGGTGTCTGAGAGCTTAGATGGGCAACCACCACTGGGCTTAGGAGCATCAGGATGATGTTTAGACCAAAGCTGGGTAACAGTGGAATGGTGGACAGCAGTAATTGATGAGGTCTGGCAAGCACTGTGGCCAGAATCAATGGGAGAAAGCACTTGTTCAATTGTCAAAGCAGCCAATTGACACATTTTAGAATTGGGGATTACAGCTTTAAATCCATATGTATTTATGCTCCAGCAATGTTTATTTGTTTACTAGTGTGTATACTAAACAATATCACATGACCTATCACATGATATTTCCAGTTTTAGTCCATTCCGGCTGCACACCAAAAAACTGTTGCAATGACATGGGTCCCTTGTGAATTGGATAACTTTACCAAAAATGAACATATTGCTTATATAATTGGTGGAGTTATGGACAAGATACTGACACATGTTTCACATATTTATTTGGAATTTTAAAACCCTTTCCCATTGTTTAATAAGCTCTTGAAGTCAAAGGTGCAAAACATTGCAACAGTTTTTTGGGGCACTGTATTTCCTCCTCCCAGACAAGGAATGGAGCACCTCGTCAAAGCTGAAGACTTCAGGTGTTTCACTTGATCTCGGGTTCAACTTCTATCAATGCGAGCTGGTGGAAGGCCTGGAGTACGAGAAACTTCCTGAGATGTTGTCAACCACATATCATGATACTTTAAAGTGGTACAATAAACAACTATTTGGTGATGATGAAGAAGGTGAGGAGGTCCAATTGGAAAATGAGGGCAAAGACCCGATGGATGCCGATGAGAATCCAAACCTTGCATATCGCAGAATGCGATGACAGCGGTGGGAAGAACAGGAACGCAGGCTGAGGGCAAGAGTGAGTCAAACACAAGTTTTGTTTGCCAAACTGCCCAATCATTGATGCCTTGTCATTAGCCCCTGCACAGCGAAGATGCTGACCAAAGTAGTGAGGATGATCGAAATGAGACCACTGGCACACAGCTCAAGACCCAACTCAACAGGATCAGGAGCAACCTAACGCTGGTAGCCCAGGGCCTGCAACTCATACTCCGCAGGAGGGTGAAACTGACAGCATGCAAGAGGTGAATGGTGGAGGAAGGAGGAAGGCTCGCACAGGCATGAAGAGATCCACTGGCAAAGTGCTGCAGAAAAAGCCAGCCAAACGGCGTTGTCGGAAGTAAACTGCAACATTATTACAGTAATACCGCTCCACCAATATTATCATAACAAAGACCCATGTTCGGTGTGAGATCACTTGATGTTTTGATCAAAATAATAATGGGGTTGTTAGATGCACATGGCAATCAGACAAATAAACCTTAAAGTTTCCCCAGCTGACTCCAATACAAGTAAGTTGGAAGTATAGTGTAGTTGTTATAGCGGTCCGCTCCGATACCCACCTTCGGACCTGACACCTCTCCTCCCTTCCTTCCCCTCTCTTCCCTCTGGTCCTCTTCCGCCGACCTCCCGCCAAGTTACGACCTCCCGCTGCTGACCCGTACTTTGTACTCGGGCACCGCTCGTACCTTTGCTCCAAGCCTCCGTCATAGTTCCTACCTCGGACTTTGACTCCACCTTGGTCTTAGTCCATTGCATTGGTGATCTCATACTACGTAAACACCATTGCCAATATTCCTCGGACTTTCAACCCCACCTCCGTAAGCTCTGCAACCTCCGAGCTTTGCAGATCATCTTCAGCACTTTCGCCACTTGTAATGTATTTCTCGCGTTTCTCCCTCATCCCTATTTGGACTGCTGCTTCTTCCCATTTTAGCCAGTAGTCATCATCCCCACTTCCCCTCATCCTCCTGCCCCTCTGGGCCTCGCCCTCCTTACCTCCTTTCGGACTTATCACAGGTTCTGCCTTATGACCTTCGGTACCGCTCCGCTTCTGACATCCCTTTGTTCCCATTCGGACGCCTTCATTCCGATTCAGTTCCCCTTCGTTCCCTTGTGCTTTTTCCCCCTCCATTATATATCGGCGCTGAAAGAGGGCTCGCGGCTCTCTATGCCGACTAAGCTCGTGGGGGCCAAACTCCCTAAACTCCTACTTTCTTGACTATACTCTGCTTATCTCGATCCTTAACTCCGTGGTGAGTTCTCCGGGTTTCCGCAAGGTCCGGGCTCAACAAATCCACTACCCACTCGTTGCAGGCTAGATTGTTGCCCTTATTCCTACTGTTGGAATCCACTCACTCACACCCACTCTAGCGCGTCCTAGCACCTTAGAGAAAATGGGGGAGGGGAGAACTTCTATTCCAAAATCCGGTATGTACAGGATTATAAGAAATAATTATTTTTAGAAATAATAGATGGGGAATATTGGTACCATATGGCACCTGGATACCTTATTAGGCGAAATAATAGAAAAGGGTAACAGTATCAATAAAAGAATATCAATCAATAACTGAAATGATGGTGAAATATGAAAATAAGAGAAAATAAGCGATATCTCAATGGATTTACGGAATTAAGAGCCTAAATTGGAAATGTAGCCGGAGATAACTCTCACGCAGCCGATGAGCATTTTTACCAATTTATTAGACGCCGTGGGAACGAGTGAGGCTGGAATTCTGGGTTGCCGCCTGAGATTCCCACGCCCGCACATGCCCGTGACCTGCTGTGCCTAACTTGTCCAACACAGAACTCCGTCAATTCTCCACCGATTAGGACGTTCTTGGTATCGATGGGATCGTAGGAATTAGTACTATTTTTAGATACCAAATCCGTGTCGAGTCGTTGTATGAATGGGGGGTGGTTTTCTAATCGTGGAAACGGGTATCCGAGCTGGCGCTGCGTGTGGGCGATTATCCCGCCTACAGCGCTTGTACATACTCGTAGTGGGCTCAGTCTGAAATCGACCTGAAATGCCCCCTAGAGACTTCCTGCTCACCTACTGTGAAATTAAGGACCAAATGGACAAACAGCAATGGCACAGCGCTCCGCTTGAGTCGCTGAGGCCAAGGTCCCTCCACGCTAAGTCTCCGATTCCACTCTGGAGTCGTCTGAATCCGCCCATCTCTAACAACATGGAGCGGCATGCCAGTGATTTGAGGCTTGACCATGGAGGACTACTGCATGATCTGAGAAGGTGGACATGTAGGAGAGTTTTGCATAAGACCCGAGTTAAGATCTGTGGGTGAAACAGAGGGAGTGGGTGGATGCATGGAAGTTGGGGATAAATGAGGGGAGGGGTTGTATGACAGAGTAGGTTGTGGAGGCACTGGGCCTGCAGAGGTTTGGGGCTGCAATGGAGCTGATGTTGTCAGTGCAGGTGGAGGTTGTTGGAGTTGGAGGTGGATTTGTTGCTGCTGTATTTGTGGAAAATTCCTATTAACAGCCATTTGAGAGGTTTGAGAAATGTTAAATCCGGCTCACTGCTGTGGTGCTGGCATAGGCTTTTTCCCAATGTGCTGCCAACTAAGGCATCTGCCTGTTATACACAGGGATCATGCCAGATTGCTGTAGCTGCTGTGTAACTGCAGCTAGGGCAGAGGTGTTCATTGGGAGCTGACCTGATGCTTGCATGGCGAGCACTGCATTCTGTATCTGGGCATTCTGGTCCGGTGTCAATCTTGAAAGAGGATTGCCATTAGGAATGGGTTGACTAGAGGGAATGCCATTTACTGGTGCTGCACTGCCATAAGTGCCCATTGAGCAAACTCCTTGTTAGCATTGGCATACAGTTCAGTGTTGTGGATGTGGCCTTCATCCACTGAAAACCCAATGAGTTCTGATTCCCCAAATAGAGAAAAATGCAAGGGAATATACTTATCATGGCAGATGAATCCTGAAAACCTAGGCATGCAAATAAACACCATACTGAGTGTCAAAGTCATCAATCAGTACCCATTGGTGTCATATCTGTCTGACAGGTCTTACAAACTGACTTGACATCTTGTTGGCAGAAACACATGTAAGCATCTTCAGAATTGGATTCATCAAACTGGTGGGCTTTCTCAATGGGTGTCAAATGTAACTTAACACACAAATACTTACATTTAATGAGGGTATTATTTTGTGGCCTTGGCAAGTGATTTTCTGCTCCTTGTAGTGGGGGTATATTGTTCAAGCAGGCCAAATAAGATGAGAGGGTCTCAGGCATGGGGAGTAACTATGAACGAGGCAAAAAGAGGGGTTAGCACAGACTCAGCTATAACATCAATATCCCAAAAACATTCATCAGTGACTCACAGGGTAAGGGTCAGCTACATGCATGGAGAAGTCAATAGGGTTGGGATGGAGTGATACCCCCTCTGCTTGGACAATGGCAACAAAATGAGTGGCAATCATGTCAGCCTCTCCAGGTATCCCATTAGGACCGCTGTCAGGGGATGACTCCCAGGTCCCCATGACCCTCCCCTATGGTCCACCACCTACTGGTGTAACCAGCCCTATCCAGGGCACAACCTACTGTGGGTAAGAAGATGAGAAGGAAGCTAACTTCCCATCTTCCCACAGTGGCCACAATATCAGCAAAACTTCCAGGGATACCCAGAAGTCACATGAAGGGGTAGGAACCGGGCCCGGAGCATGCGGCACATGGAGCGTGCATGCATGCAGGAAGCACGGCAGGTGGAAGCAGGTCCGGATGCGGGTCCGGGTCCGGGCTAGTCAGGGTGTGTGCCCTGACAACCGTGCACTGTGGATGCCCTGCACCAGAAGTCCATTCCATTTCGGGCATATCCACAAATATGTTTCACATTGGAGGGCTAAGACAGCGCCCACTCGATACAATGCCAGGCACTCCCAAAACAGATGAGACCATAGTATGACAGCCACCAGAGAGTTGTTGAGTGACAAACCTGGCAATGTCCAATATGTCAAAAACCCAGATCGTAGGGGGTAAATGCGTGAGTCTGAATGCAGGTGGGGCTCAACTAGAGGGGGAATCCAAGAGCTCCAGTGGTGGACCGAAGCTTCTCCAGGAAGCCCAGTTCTGCTGGATGGTACAAGAGGCTCTAAGAAGGACGCGGCCTCAGCGACTCGGAGGGAGCGCTGTGCCTCCGTTACGTCTCAGTTAGTCCTTGTATTTCTTATGTCTGAGGTATCTTGTAGAATGGAATGGGATTCACTCAGAGGGACTTTGGGTAGCATTTTAGTCGAGATTAGAACTGAGGAACTACAGGTTCTAATCTACGGGTATTTATAAAGAGGAGTGGAAAGGACTTAGTCAAAGTCCGAATGACAATGGGGCAACAACGAAAGGTGCTGAATGATACCGAGAGGTACTGAAAGGTCCTGAACGATATCTTAAACGGGGAACCGAGGTGTCGGACCAAGGAGGGCGGAGTTGGAGGCCGGAAAATGAATGGGAACAAGAAATGGGTAAGGGAGGGTTAGCCGACTGAATGGTAGGAAGAAGGTAGTCATGCTAAGAATGGAAAGTGACTAATAAGTGATAATGTGAGTGAGATCACCGAAGGATGCGGGTAGCTCCGAAAGCGGAGTTGCGTATCCGAAGGATATTAGGTGACTCAAATAAATGAAATTGGTGGAGGAATGTTTTAAGGGTGTGTCACGGGATGTTGGAGGTCTGTCGGGATATCGGAGCAAATCCGGAGTCTCCGAATGTTCCGACTCGGGACCGAGCTTCCGGGATGGGGGTGGCCAAGGTTCAGTGTGCCGCCACCAGACCGGAGCTGAGACAATCAGGAGGGAAGGTGACTTGGTGAGTGGGGAGGCATGGTGTAGGGGATGGTGGAGTTGTTAGGAAGGTGTGGTGTGGTGGGAGTGTGTGGGGTCAGGATTCTGGGATATGACACAATAGTTCTCTCCACCTTTTCTTTTTCCCCCCAAATAATCTGCCATAGATTTGTTTGAATGCATTGTTAAATCCTCCTTCTATTGGCCTTCTATGGATGCTTATAATCCACTTATACAATACTTATCACTTCTATTGAGGACAACAGGGCATGCAATTCCTTGTGGACCGACTATGTAAGATAGACGACTTTCAAATCCCGGTACTATCCAGATGCAAATTATTGCGAAATTCACATTGCTGCTCATCCCCCCTCAACACTTTTGACGCCAATGTGGCACCTGAAAGGTGTAGAGGTGATGCTGTTTTATATCTTCTCGGTTTCCAAATGTTGATATACATCATTATTATTAAATGAATTTCAATATACTTCATTACATCGGAATCCACATCTCTTTCACTCCCTGACCAGAATCCTGCAAAAAAAAAAAAAGACCCCCCATTTCAAGTTTGCCAGCATGGGCAGTGTGCTGTATTACAGGGATTGCCAGATCCAAAAAAGGAAGCCATGCCTTTCTACCCTTTAAGCGCTGTGCTCACTCATGCCTGTACACAGGAAGCGCCATCATGCAAACAATCTTGGGGAATACTCTAAGGTATGCCACTGACTAGCCAAGGCACTATCCATTCTGAGTTAGCAAAACTTTTTGGACTCAGAAAAAACCGTGCAACACCACCCCAGGCCCTAACCTCATGGCTCATGAAGACTCCAGACTTGGAAACTTTGGTATTGAGCCAGAAAGTGATAGTCGTGACAGCCAGTCTGAAGCTGAGGATGGGAATGAGGATGGACTTGGAAACTGTGACATTGAGCCAGAAAGCGACAGTGATGACAGTCAGTCCGGAGCTGAGGATTGGAATGAGGATGTCGACATCACCTATTTCGATACCCCACTAGCTGAGTGCTTGTCTAAAGCCGAAGATGTCCTTTCACATCTAAAGTGTGGTGCAATACCTGGAAACAAAGTCCGTTATGCAGGGACCACAATCAACAGCACCCCAGCAGAATGCACCCGATGCTATCATGCAGCCAAGCAAAGGGCTACTAAGAAAGGAATACAAGAGGCAATCAAAAAAACTGTGTCTGATGGGAAGAAACGGACCCTACATGACTTTTTCCACTGACACCACATATCCAACTCCCATACCCCATTTCCCTGCGACCCAATCGCCATTAGTGACACCGACATGAGTAGTGATGACACTACACAATGTAACAATCAAATCCTTGGTGATGCTGATGGCCAGGCTCTGGGTGAGCCTCCGTGCTGTATGGATTCCATCAATCCTGAGTCAGATGCAACTTTTGTGTATCCAAACCCACAGCGGCTCGACGTACCTGAAGTATGCACATCAGAAACTGCAATGCCAAGTCCAACAGTGTGTGAGGAACCCCTTGCACGAACCCACCACCACCCCCACGCATTTGTCCCTGCCCCATCCCGAAAGTTAGCTGAAGAAGCTGCACAATGCATCAGTGAAATCATCCGGCCCCGCCAGAAAGGTGGTGGCCATAAACATTCGAAGTTCGATGACTTAATGCAGATGCGACTGGAACAAATGCTCCAGTTGTTCCATGTGTACCGTTCTGACATGGGCTTGACCAAGGAGGTGGGCTGGATCCAAGCATCGGAGTGGGTGGCAATCTCATGGGATCATGGGCCACAGTCATATGGGCCTAAGTTGCAGGAGTGGTGTCATGCGTTCATGGTCGATTTCAACACAATTCCGATGAACCCCTATGGAAAATGGAAGGAGTCTATTCTTGTGATGGACGAGGATATTAGACAGGAAATCGAGGCTCACCTGCATAGTCTCGGTCCATTCATCTCAGCAATGGATGTCGTTCAGTTCTTGAATACTCCGGAAATGTTTGAGCGCTTAGGTCGGGATAAACCAATATCTGTCCGAACAGGTCAGCGCTGGCTAAAAAGAATGGGGTATCGCTGGCAGAGGGAGAAGAAAGGGCAGTATTCTGATGGCCATGAGCGAGAAGATGTGGTTCGATATCGGCAAGAGGTGTTTCTGCCTGCAATGAAAAATTACGGAGAGTTGATGAGAAAGTGGGATGAAAATGGGGAAGAAGTAACTGAGCCAAATGGGTTTCGTCGTACTGTGGTCTGGTTCCATGATGAATCAGTCTTCTATGCTCATGACCGTTGGAAGGTTCGTTGGGTTCATGATTCCGAGACAGCAAAACCCTATGCAAAGGGTTAGGGTGCATCTGTCATGGTGGCCGACTTTGTCTCAGCCGATTATGGCTGGCTCAAAGGTGGTGATCATACAGCTCAGGTCCTGCTCAGACTGGGGAGTAATCGCGACAGATACTTCACAAGTGATGGTGTAATTGAACAAGCATCAAATGCAATGTGGATCTTGACAGAGCATTACCCCAATGACCATCATGTCTTGGTCTTCGATAATGCACGTTGAAGGAGAGAACGAAGGAAGGTCAGTTGGGAGGTTCAAACGAGACCACCACCAAGCTGTTCCCTGGTTCTTTAGTTAGGATGGGGAAGTGTACTAGTGTTATTTATTGTAAATATAGTACCAATCCGAGTGTTTTGGCTAATTCTATTTTTATGGGTTAGTTTTAAAGTTCCTGGGAATTGACTTACAGATAAACCGAGCCCTGGGGAGCTGTTTCTTTATTGAAATTTATTAATTTGTCTAGGTGTAATTCTGTGTAGCGTTGTTTAATTTGGATTTGAACTTGAATTTAATCTTCTACTTGGTGAAGTTTCAAAGATTCTGTTCAGTTAATGAATTTGGATTGTGTCTGGAGTGTCCCTTGGGTTTATTTTATTTTTGTCTTATTTTATTGCTTGTTTTAACAGTAGCAAGATAACTGTTTTGTGTTTACACTTTGAAATCTGGAGTGTTAACCAGCTCTCCTGTTGAAATATCTACTTAATATTTCTCTCCTTAATTGCTGCCTTTTACTACAGTGGCAATCTTAACTGTATATCACTTTTTCGCACTGGAGTGACAACCAGAAATGCTTGAGAAAAATAATACTCTATTTTCTTACTTCTCTGAGGGGGGCGAAAAGTCGCAGAAAGGGTCTCCCTTTTATACTCCTTGGGTCACCTTCCTTTTTCACGCTCTACCTTCTATTTACAGGATTTATTTACAGTGTATTTTTCTCAAACTGAATAAAAAATGAAATTTTCACGCTATAGTTCTACTGCACTTTTGCTGCGCTGAACTGCAGTTCTACTGCGGTCAGACTGCGCCTAGAATCCTTATTGTCCTCCCTCGCCTAAGCTATTTTAATGGTTAATTAGAACTTGGCTGCGCTGCATTTGCCACAGTTACCTATTTCAAATTCCCTATATATACCATTAAATTTGCTATGACTCGATGATTCTGAATTCAAACTTCGCATTACTATGCGTACGGCTGTGCTGAGACCTTCAGCTGATTTATTCCATTTTTATTTAGTGACATTTAGTTAAAATGAGACTGAAATGGTAAATGAGTGAATTATTCAGGTTTAAAACTGAAAGTAAAAGTTGCTAGTAGTCAAGAATTACTCAAACGAATGTGTTATAGCTCTCCACCTCATTAGAATATCGTTCCCTAAAATTCCCGCCATGGTCCGTCGTAGTTTAGTGGTTTTCGTGAATTTCGTTCATATTCCCTGATTCCCCTTTGTATTATCACATCCTAATCCTCCATATGTATTGTTCGTTGTTATAGTAGGTCGTCCTTGAAGATATCATATTTTTATGTATTTTATTTAGGACTCTGGACCTCTTGAAGCTGTTTTCCCGCGCGTTTTCTGGTTTCTAACTTCATGTCCCTATATCTCATTCATTTCTGGATGTTTTCTCACGTTCTTGGTATCATAAATTTTCATTTATTCCCACCTTTCCAATGGTACTAAGATTGTGTCCTATTTCCTGGTATTCGTTGAGTTAGCAAAAGTTCGCGTGCACATTCGGTAATCACGTGCATCATTCCCATAGTCGTTTGTATGCGGGCGCCGTTTCCGTTTAATTGTTCGGGATTTATGATATGCACGGGTTTTTATTTCTTTCATATGGGCTTCTGTGATTTATTTCAGATTTTTCCCTCATGATCTAAGGTTGTTTTGCACTTTCCATGCTTTGTTTTGACCGGGCTCTTCCTTATTTGGACGGAAATTGGTCTTCGCGATCTGCCAAAGTGCGGATCTCGGTTCCGACGGCCGGTTCCCTGTGCATCGCCACCCTCACACGTCATTACACATGATGCAGATTTCTATATTCCCATCATGGGTATAACTTCACAACGGCTGGACCGTTTGGGCTGAAAATTTGCATAACTATAGTTCCCCATTTTTAATAATTTCCGTGTAAATTTCGTTGTATGTTTCAATTATGGATCCTACGCAAACATCGTCTTTTCCCTGAGCTCGGACTTTTGATGTCGCTATTCCCATTATTGGATATCTTATTAACGCATGATCCTTTTATTATGAAAATTTGGGAGGATTAAGATTAGATCCCTTCCTTTCTAATGGGCTATCAAGCTTGTCTTGGTCGTTACTAGTTAATCTTCGCGCTTGCCTTTTAGACATTGTCCTTGTTTTGCAGGAGTTTTAGTCATATCTCCATCGTTTATAGGTAGTTTCCCCTGTAATTACTCTCATTGGTTCCGTTTGGAAGACATCTACATTTCCTATTGTAAACACGACTCTGACTTTTGCATTAGTTCCTGAGGAATCTTCGTTCCGTGGTACTTCCATCCTTGGCTACGTGTTCGGACGTGGGAAAGTAGTTTCCGTGGAGGTTCTCTGATTATTTTTATAGTCAAATCTTGGTCGATTGTCCTAATTCTTGGTTTAATATTTGCTATAAATTCCCCCGAGAATTCCGTCTTGTTGATAGTAAGCTTGAAGTATTTTTGCTATTTTTCTTTCTTTCGATTTATCGTGTATAGTCATAATAATTCGTAAAAATTCGTAAAATTCATTAAAATTCAGGTCCTTCTATTTTCTCATATCTACTTGTCGTATGAGGTTTTTGTGATTTATCTGGCATATTTCCATAATGGGTTTCCATAGTGTGGCCGTTATTTCTCCTACAACATACTCACTCCAAACGTGCTGAAAATGCCTTGTCAGCACTCAAGATGCCAAAGGGTCCTAAGCCATGGTGAATGCACGTGATGAGAGTGGTGCAATCATATACAAGCCCAATGGAAAACCTCAAACCACAACTAAGCGTATGGCAGATACAATATGGGATGGTCACATACAACACCTTTATTACCCCGATGACCACCCTGATTATCCAGGATATTTCAAGGGGATGGCCAAACTCTTAGAAGAACGAGGCTATGATGTCACTGGGCTCCATGCTCAGTGTGACAGGTTCAAATGCAGTGGCACAGCAGCACAATGTTGCTGCCGAAATATCCTTTTTCATTCTGCTCATTTCATTAATGTCAAATCCCTGCTTCAGACACACTGTGAAGCTGCTGGGTTTGGCACCCTATTTCTTCCAAAATTCCATTGCGAGCTTAATTTTATTGAGCAAGTGTGGGGGTATTCAAAGCATGTTTATCACGAGTTCCCACCTTCTTCAAGAGTCGAAGATGTCAAACTAAATTTACAGAAAGCACTGGAATCTGTATCAATCACATCAATGCGCAAGTAAGGAAACCTTTTATTTTTTCATACTTTCCAGATAACATTAATTCTCAGGTTTTCAAATCGCTCATTGTGATACATGGATGGTTATTGCCAAGGGTTGAATGGTCGTGAGACTGCCTGGGCAGTAAAGAAATACAAAGGGCATCGCGGACTGCCACCTGAAGCAGTACATGAGGTTTATCAAGAATTCTCAGCCAAAGGACATGTATAAAGTACATAAGTAATTCCAAAAGAGACAGCCAACTCTGCCTAATTACATAACCAGCTAAATATTTTCCACGTGACCTTGCAATGACCAGAAATATTTGCCGCTCATGACCTTGTACTGCCACATTCGGATAATTCCGGATAGTACCGGGATTTGAAAGTTGTCTATCTTAGGATAGATATTCCTACCTTGCATCCTCCTGTAAATTATCAGGCAGCCAAAAATTGACATGAATTTCTTATGCTCAAATAGTCGTGCCCCTGTCTGGCTATTGTATTGAGTTTATTCTTGCACACTGTCCATAGGCTTGAATGTGGCATATTTGGGGCTGACTTCAACAGAGGTAGAATCACACCACCTAGGCCGCTGTCTTCCAGCCAAAAAATCAACCACTCTCTCACCAGGGTAAGCAAGCCAAAGCTTTCTGCCATCAATGTCCCACAATTGGGACAACTAGGGTTCACTGAATTGATATTCAGACCGCAATGTACCCACGCACATATTAATTATTTCTTTTATCATACCCATACAAATGACAAGCTCATGGAATTGCGATTGTTCAATACCGTTCATACAATATTTCCCTCGAATTTACGCACCCAGTCCTCGTGATCGCTCTTACACACACACGAGGGTTCACTGAATTTTTTTTTTCCATTCCAGTTCTTTTTCTTCTCAAACTCACGTTGACTTTTGTTTCGATTGGATTTGAGTGTGGAATATTAATATTGTACATGAGAAAAAAGAAAAGGACTGGGGCCACCGGCAGAAATGATGATGTTGGGAGGAGCTCGCAAAATGAGGGCGTTGGAAGGGAGGCCTGCCAGGACGGGCAGGTTGCAAGAGCCACCGAAGGTGCATGGAGCCAAAACGATGGGATGGAGGCTGGTGTGTGGAGCGAGAAAAGAGGCGAGATGAACGCTGCTGACATGTGGCGGTTTCATCACATCTATATTGGCCGGTGGAAGCAACAATGCCGGAGGAAGGGGGAATGGGGTGGGCTGTGTCAAGGCGAGCAGAAAGGCAAACAATAAACGCTGCCGATACCGAGAAATTTCACCGCACAAGTCAAGTCTGAACGAGTAGACATGAAAATGTCAGAACGGCAGAGGCGATAAGATAAGAAGGGGGCCGGACGCATCAGCTCGCGCTTGCCCGCAATGGGGGCGGCTTTTGTATTGGCCTAAAGTACAGTCGAAATCCCTGTCTATGCTGGCAGGACACGAGGCAGCTCGCTGAGATGTGTGACGCTGGCCTGTGGGCGTCAAGCATGGTGCATTGGACCACTCGCAAAAACCGCCAAACTGCAACTGCCTCCATCAATGTCGAAGCCCGAACCAACGAGCCACACCTGAAGTCGATGCACCAGCACCGTCGAGCACGATGTCCGACTGAGGCACGAACGGGGCGTCCACTTGCTGTCGGCTGTCAAAGCCCAGCATGGCAATCGCACGTGCCGTTGGCTTGGTTTGTTTTCGTTTTCGTGTTTTCTTTCTTTCTCTCTTTTTTTTTTTCGCGCTCCAGTCCAGTGGCCCGTGACCGTTCGAATTCCAGCTGGACAGCCACGGATGGAAAGCGATTTAGCATTCAACGGGTTCAATCGCGCCAGACACGAAATCACAATATGGAATAGGCGATGTATCTGTTCATCATTGAAGAAAAAAATTACTGGTTTGCCTGCTCGGCATCCCATTTCGCCTCTAAGGTCAAGATTTCGCGTTCACTGCGAAGAAGACCCTCCAACTCTCCCAGCTCAAAGAGTTCTTCATCCTGAACGAAATGTTCACCACCTCGTGACTCAGCAAGTTTGGAAAGGTTCGAGCGCGGTCGCTCGTGAAGAAATGCATCCTTGGACAGAACGGTGGCTCCAAGCGTTGAGGGGATACTCAAGTTGGATGATGTACCTAATGGAGGTGTAGAAGTAGAAACAGAGTCAAGTCGTAGAGAGGATGCGACTATCTGCTCCATTATGCGCGAGCGGGACCAAAGCCACCTTGCTTTATCACGTACATAGGCAGGTGGACGAATAGGATGAGGCTGGGGGATGAGAGTCATTGTGTTAGATCCCCCCAGAGTCGGACTAGGCACTTTGATAACGTAAGGACGACTCTGGTTTTCAACCTCGAAAGATGAATCGTCGTCTTCTAAACCAAAACAAGACGCATCATCTGCTATGGGTCCCCCTTTGCACAGGGGACGGACCTTAGCCCTCCAGATTTCTTGCTGGAAATCCACTGCATCTTTCATTGCTCGAGCATTATTAGCCCGAATACGGCTCCCAGAGCGAATCCCAGTACCCACAGCGTTGGCCCATGGGAGCGCTTTGGTCCAGTCCTGAATCAAGCGGCCAATTTCCCCATAACGCTCAAGAACGGTACGTTGCCCACAACCCACGCGTCCACACAGTTTTGAAGCTAATGATGTGTGCTGCGGCATCGCTTGGGCAGTAATACCCTCATAGGCGCAGATAATGAGCGCACAGGCCACAGGAGGAACAGCCCTTTGGTCGAATAGCGATACTCTTTGAGTAAGCGAAGACAGTGAAATGGCGAAGCGAGACACATCTGGTAGAGGAGTAGACTCAAGGAATGAATGAAGCTTCTGAGGGAACGGAGATGGTTCGAAGGACAACAATGCATTGATAGAGCTGAGTAGACTTGAGAAGTGTAGAACGGCATCACTCGGGGCTAATTGAAGGCCTAGAAGTCGTTGGACCTTGTGATACATCCTTGCGAGAGCTCCGAACTTGACACTGATATAAACCTGAAGGGGAAGAGTATCAAGCGATCTAAACGAACGCCATTCGCAGCCAGCTTACAGCAATGTCACATAAGCTTTCGCACCTCCCACTCTCTCGAAGGGATACGGCCACAGATGCACCTTCTACTAACGTTGAAGTGCGGCCCCACTTAAAATTTCCAGCATCCATAGCACGGTCAAATATATTTTTCGCCCGAGTTTCCAGTGAGGCTAGTTTCAGGATGCGTAAAAGACTCGATAGCGACGAGTGAGCTTCGATCTGTGTCAATATGTAAATTCTCGTGCGGCAGAGGAGAGCACAGCCAACCCACCATTTTTTTGGCCCTGTAGGCTCCCTTGTTATCGGCTGCCGACCTGATGGAGTCATGTACCACTCTTGTACCGACTATCAGCTTTCCATCGTCATCACATATAGGCTCAGCGACGAGCTCTTCGGCCTGAAGAGTGTCAACGAGTGTTCCACACTCTGTGCAAACTTCGCCAAAAACTTCCTCAACGTACTCTGTCACGGCGCCACAAGCTTGGCATGTCATCTCAAAAAACTTCGCGCCAGTCGTCTAAAGCAATCTGATAATGAGACACGTGACGCCTTCGGCAAATTTAAAATTAGAAGCTCTTGTTGTGCGGTACCGTCAGCGCTCAAGGACTCTGGCCACTTCAATCGGTGACCATTTCTCAGAGCACTTTCCCCATGGAAAAGGAAATTTGACCCCCTTCGTAAACAGACGGGCATCAGGCACCCGTGCATTGAGATATCAAGTTCTAATGGCGCCAACTTGACACAGCAATCTCATCAACGGACAATTCTTTCGCGCGGCCCTCTGGAGGAACGAAGTTGGCCAATCACTGCTCATCAGAAGTTGTGGCTTACTATGAACTTATGAAACGGGGGAAGCAATCCGAATTAATATTCAACATCTTGTAGTAAAAGTTCGGGTTGCATATGAAGAAAAGAGGGTCCTTGTCCACGAGGTAATCACGTCCGGTCTCGACCAGTTGAAAAGACGATGGATGACTGCGCATTCCAAGTGTCGTACGTTTGGGGGATCGACTACTTAATAATGAGTATCAGGGACAACTAAACGTTTTCACACGCGAAGTAGCCGACGATCTGCGAACCTGATTCTCGTTGAATTATCACGGCATGAGGCTGAGGGCAGGCATGAAAAGATCGGACATGACGTACCCATGTGTGCGTCCGAACTTTGTGGGTGGAAACAGAGCCAATGAACAAGAGTGCCAGTAATGGGGGAACCATCCTGACTAGTCAGTTTGTAATTGCGATGCCACAACATACAGATAGACAGACAATTGCGCACTCGGATGGAAACAAGATGAGCAATAATTGCTGGCGGGCATGAACAAGAACTGATGGTGATTCTCTGCCTTGCCCGACGGATTCCGGAATTCGGCAGCAAGGCGGAATGGTGGGGTCTGGTGTTCCCGAGTGCAAGTTGTGTGATCTCAAGAGTGTCTAACACCCGCTCACGTTCGAAGGCGAACGGCACAAGGAGCGTGAGCCGAACCCGGACCGGAAGCCAGACTGTATGCAAATCGATAGGTAGTTTGGGTTCGAAAAGCAAACGCTTGATTCAATGCTATTGTTGATACGGGAGTGCGTTTGAGATGTGCATTATGCCGATCAACAGCAGGCAACGGAACGGTCCCATCGGCGGTAATCATATTACATAGTAATATGATGTTGATAGAAGCCCAAAACTTGGGGGTTGGGCGATTAAAAAAATAATCCCCTCCCAAAAAAAAAACTGAGAAACACACGTGGCTGAACTGTTGCGTCAATTGGGACGGAATCGCCCTGTCCATTCGATCACGTACACTAATCCAAACTCTGTGGAAGCTCCACAGTCAACATACGAAGTCCGTACCGGATCCGCTCAAAGAAACACGAGTCAAGGACAGCTGAATACAACGCCACAGCCGGGCCAAACGCAGCCCAGCGGAGCTTTCCGAGGAAGCAAAACAACGGAACCACATCAGTGATCGCAGGAAGAGCCATCTCTGTGAGATGTGGAGGTCCAGGGTGGGAAGCTCAAGGCTGTAGATTCGCAGAAGATGCTTAGATCTTGCCGGGTTGTCTGACAAAGAGGCAGTAACCTGCCTGCGAATAAGCTGAGCAAAGTGAGAACAGCAGATATTTGGGGAAATGGACAAAGGAACAATCTGGATATCACTTTCCGCAAATCCAAAACGTCCCGATAACTGTAATGGACAAAACACAGATGTTGCCTCGAGAATTGCTTCTGGGATATTAAGCAAGGTTGGTCGACATCAAAGACACTACCGAAATGAGTGGCTACTAACCAGGGAGCATGGTACCCTCACGGGAAATGTCATTTCCCAATACATCAAGGGGACGCCTCTGCCACATACTACACATATTACTTGAGGAAGGCCGAGCGCATGGTGGGGGCTAGATAATAATGGCAATACGAACCCCCTCCAAGGAGATCTCACTAATTTTCATAGACGTGCCTCAGGCACCAAGCTGGTGTCTGGGGGAGCAGTACAGGTGCGCAAAAAAGGACAATGAAAAGTCACTTAAGAGCTTGAGGCGTTCATGTCGCGTTCGAATCTCGGCTAAATGGATTTACCATTGCGAAACGAAAACCCTTGTCAGGAAAACAAAAAATATACTGATAAGCCAGCAGTGAGACGGTGCATATAGCCCGATTCCAATAAGGCTGATGACCTGCCTAATAACCCGGGAAAACGGCTCTTCATAAGTGACAAAGTAATCTTCAATTCGCAATCATAGCCTTGCATGCACTGGTGCAACACCGCTTGAGCATGCAAGCCTCACGGACACAGTGCACATTCCTGAGCGAGATTTGCGGTCCTTAGGTAGTTTGAAAGCACGTCAACAACGAGCGAAACCAAGCATTCGTCGGGACCGAGGGACGCAAATCAATTCAGTTTCTATATTCCCAATTCGGGCGGACAGAGGTAAAAATGCACTGCAGAAACTTGATGACTCGTCGACCTGAGAATTCCGGTTAATCGATCGGGCATGGGCGCCTGTTTCCCTGAGCATACACGTTCGTATCATGTGCCTGTCCCTGGGGTGTTCATAGCATAACCCCACTCCCGTGTACAGTGCAGAAAGCCTTTTGAGCGGCATGTGATAAGGAACCACACACCAAGAACTGCGGCAAGAAGCCAGGTGATTTGGTCTGTGGCCGCAGGCCTCGGTGAAGCAACTGCTCAGTGATCCCAGAGGCATCCAAAAGATTGTTTGGGCGCTATTCAGTGAGGAAGTCGTATGCACCTACAGCCGTGATTCCTTTAATGACCGAATAGGGGCCCCAAAGGGCCCTGCAGTTGGCCGGCCAGCGAAAAAATTCGGAGTTAGCCAGCGGCATCGGAGTTGGGAACTCACCTAAAGGGGTCTCAGTGAATGAAGGAACCCATGCAGCTTGCGTCGAACATCTATTGAAAGCCTTCAAATCGATCGCAAAGGAGAAGTGTTGGCCGGTCCCTGTGGCCGCCCTATGTAGTTGCATGAACGGATCCCTAAATGATGGTAGAAGATTCCAAATCGATCATTATCACAATATTGATGTCGGATCATTTTTAACTTGTGTGTGGAGGAATGGGAAATTGCAAACCTAGCAGCAAAGAAAGGATAAAAACTGCGCGAATAATTAATTAAATCCGCAAGCACTGCATAGCACATTGCACACCGCGGCTCATCCCCAACGGAAGAAAAAGGATTTTCAAAGATAAAAAATACGAACACATTCAACAACTGCTTTCACCGCACGCACCTTGGTGGCCGAAAAAGCCTCGTGGTCTATCTTACCCCACAAAATGGCATGGTGATCTTATCAGATCCCATGCTCAAGATGAGATTGTGAAGGGCCTCGAGGGTCCAAATCTGCTGACGTGCCACAGTCAGTTGGCGGCACAACCATACTGTGAATCTAGGGAACCCATGCGCCCCGAAACGCTAGTATAATATTATTGGGGTCCGAGGCTCTAGGCTTTCTGGAGCGCTGCAGGCATGAGGATTCTGGGCCCATCAGAGTAGGAAGACGTCAGATGGGTGTAGTGAGGGTCCATCCGTTTGGTGTTTCAAGCGACTGGATTTAAATCTTATAGGAGGTGCACCACTGGCCAGTTGGCAATTCCAAGCAAACACTGTCGAGACATTTATTCGGCTGCGGAAACCAGTACCCTAAGAGGGTAACACTGGGACCAAATTCGGGAGAGAATGATGGCTTGGTGATAATATGTTATCACTCATTTTCAAAAACCACACTCAATCCCATGCGCTTCCTTTCCGTTTCTGGGTGCCCCTTTACATAATCCGTGGTATACGGAGGCAGAAAAGAAATCATTCGAATTCCGGAATATGAAGCGATAGCTACGACACGACCGAGAGATGCATTCCTGATTGGGTCTGCCAGTTAGGTCTTCATTGAATATTACGTGCTGAGTATGTATTCAACTCATATCCGGTGTCTCGGTGATGATCACTAAGGACCAGGCGGATGACAAGATACGGCTGTGATGCTGACGACAATGTGCCGGAGAAAAGGGACCGATGCTGTTAAACGTGGCTAATGAAGCGCAGCAGTGAGGCTAACCGTGCCTCAGGCTTGAGCATCAATTCGTAGCTGCAGTAAGCGCGCAGCTAATGTACCTGGAGAACATTCCGTCGCCTCGGCTAGAAGGTCGGCGACACAGCACTATAGTTAGTCTGCTGCACCGCATGCGCGGGAAAGGTGTGCACTAAAGCACTAGCAGTATGAAGTGCACGTGTCAAGTTTCCAGCATCGTTTGGGCGCCAAAGCAGGGCTTACGCGAGTCAGAGGTTGCAAGTCTCGAGCAAGTGACATGAATGATCAGGTGAATCAGGGTGTGGGATACACAACTAGTTCGAAACCTAGAACACCTATTCAAAGATCAGACGCTGTGCCGGCTGAACCGTGCGCGCACGTTGAAATTGGGTGGCGACAAAAATAATTCCTGATATCAGATGCTTAATCCAGGGAAGTCGGTCTAGAGTCGATGTGTGTGAAAGGGGGTTGCAAATGGCTATGGACGCTAGTGTGTGCGACACGTGTCACTAGGCTGTAACACGTTGGGCGATGAGCATAGAACCCTAAAATGAGAGGGCATAGCCTTGTCTTATTGTGGAGACAAACTTAAGCGCTTAAGCGCTCATCACAAACGGAGCCTGTGCAGGGGAACAATACAGTCTCAGATTGAATTGAATTGAATGGTCGAGTCATCCAACCCTTGTTCCAATTTATTGTTCATTCATTTTTATTCTTTTCCCAAAATTTTCGCGGTTCCGGGATATAAAAACTAAATCCATTGTTTCTCTGAATTCAGTTGTTCGATATATAGCCCCGAGAGAAACCTCGCCGGATTCGTAGTCCTATCTATCCCTTGCCCTCAAATTCCCCTCCAGCCCACAACCCACAATGTCGTCCTTCGATGCTATCCCGGACCTTCAGGAAGCCAAAGCTCAGCACGAGTTCCAACGTACCCGTACTCTCAAAGCGGACCGTGCCTCACATGTGCAACAGCAGCCTTCGCGTCCTTCTCGTCGTCGCTCCTCCTCCTCCAACAATGCACCTCGTCAAGCATGGAGGAAATTAACACCTGTCGAAGCACAGGGAGAGTACCCCTCGTCGTCGAGACGCTTCGCTAGTGCACCCAATGTCTTTGACTCTTGGGACGACGAACTTTCCCGAGCCTACCAAGACGATGGCGACCACGGATATGATAGTGACGTCCCTGAAGCTACCTGGGACTCTTCTTCAGAAACGGAGGACATGGAATCGGATCCTACTCTCCTCAGTGACTTGATTCTTCCTCAGACAGAAGCATTGGGTATGTTAACCTCTTTCCTCCAACAAGAGATAATCGACTTATCACCACACTCCTCCATGACAGATTTCATCACAATTTCCGAGTATCACCTTGCGCAGCCAGCCCAACACTTTCAACGTCCGTTCCCGCCGTCGTACATGGCATCACCTATCCATAACATGGCCGCCATTCACGACTCGCCCATAGGGCCAAGTCTTGGATTACCTGAAGACCCAAAGTTGTGGGTGGATGATCGCCGTTACTCGTCGACCCACTCCGCAACAGACCAAACTAGGCTCCGCTCGTCGAACACCGTCATCATCATCCAGGATTCCGTGTGGTGAGACACGGATCCTACATTCCCTCTCATGACGACTGCATCCACGACGACCATGACTGCTTTTGACGACGAGTTACACGACTACCATCCATCCTAATTGTACCTCCCAATTCCGGACACAAATATCAAAATACGAATTTCCTCTTCAGCTACGCAACACACTACCTGGATACTCCCCGTTTCACTAATCTTCCAATGTACATCTGAACCACTTTTCCCTGGATTCGCACATTCTCCACAGCCATAACCCTTCTCACAATCCCCCCCAACCTACAATTTATCAAATCACCTATTTCACTTGTGGAACCACGTCGGCTATCGACCCTTCGCCTGTACCATAATGTTATTCTTGCTTTGACCACATAGTACGATGCATGTTTTGCACCAACAAAAAATTCTTATTTGTATTACTTAAATTTAAAACCCCGGTTGTGACCATTGGTGGCGAGCTTGCGAAATGGGGTGACAGCCAGGTGACTAAGCACACATGCTGCATGCTAAACATGGTGAGTGAGCTGCAAGTTCCGTATCGTCCGAATCCAGCAACAGGCACAATACAAAATATTCCGCACTGGAGATTCCGTCCAATTTCACACACTCGGCTGCCCATCACTTATGCGAGCTGGGCTTCAAAAGAGCTGCTCGAACGTTTCTGCATGACGAATACAGCGGAGAAGAGTAACATATATATAGTATTAATGCGAATTTCGTGTGACGCCATGATTTATTTCTGTCATGAAGATGCACGCGCGCGCTCTCGCGCGTTCGGTGCATGATAGATGGATGATACGATGCAGCTGGGAAGCGAATTAATACATGCGCATACGCGCGTAATATCGTAGCCTATGGTCAAGTCTCGGACCAATTAGCGACCGGTTGATGAAAGGCCGTTCTCTCAGATTGACTCGTGCTACCCAAACCATTGGGTACTCATGTCGTATGGTTACGTTACGGCGGTGATATCAGATCAGACTCACATAAGGTCAAAACGGCCTATTGCTCTTGCATTACCGTCCCAACGAGAGCCTTTTTGAGGCGTCTCTAGTTCCATGCTGCGGACCGGTCTTGCCTTATCGATCGGCGATGCCATAGAGTCCATTGATTGAGGGGTTTTTTGTGTCGAGGGGGGTTGCAGAGGAGGCCATTACTGCAGATTCCCCGGCGGCGATCCGAACTGGGTGCGAGGCAGGACATTAGTGTAGTAACTCAGTGAATGAATACCATGGTGACGTCGTTGAGCGCAATTCGAAGGCCATTATTGGCAGGACATCGTGGCGATCGATAACAAGTTGGGGATCGTGGATTAGATTAGGCATTCTGTACAGAAATAATAGGAGCCAAAAGTGTGGGATCGCGAATTACTAAACGGGTAACATACGCGGAGACTGAGGGCTACGGCGAAGGTGGAGAAGACGTCATAGTGCGTGGACATCAAGTTTGAGAAGACAGCAAACGCAGCGAATGGCAGAATTTGCTTCAGCAAGAGCGGCTGCCAATGCAATCAATGCAATAATGAAAGACCTTGGAGTCGATATGCTGCACCTCAAGCATGCTTTGGTGCGTGGGGCTAGAAGACAACTTCCAGCCTACACACACAGCAGTGGAGGGAGCATATAATAGGAAGAAGAGGCGGGGCGGAATGAATGAGCATTTGTGGCAGGTTCTTGTAGCACTGCTACGCAACAAGTGCCCACAGAAAACATGGCTATCCTTACAGCATATCTGAAACGCCAGGCCGTTATGATCGAAGAGTGGGGTCACAGACGCCCGCGAGTGGATGGAGTGAGGGACCTGGTGACTAACGACACATGTCCGGGGCCCAATTCAGCACAGTGTCTTATGGTGGATGTAGGGTGTGTAGAATGCCTTGGCTTGTATTGGCTCCAGCCAATGAGGCAGAAGATCCCAGTGTAGTGGGAAAGGGCAATCAATCATAAGCTTGTGATTGTTCACAAAGATTGGTCATACGAAAAGTCATGAGCTTCGCTGTTCCGGCAACTTCATATACGTCCGCCAGTGAAGAGAGCAGCTTGAAAATAGGAGGAGTCTGAGCGGCGAAAACGATAACAGACAATGGTTTCTGTCACGTGCAGTCAGCACGTGGCATGCAGCCGTCCGTTAGAGGGCTGTTGGTTGCACCACCATCGCAGGAGAACTAGATACCATGCATTTGATGCCACTTGGGTAAATACGCTTGGGCTACGGCTGAAATGGATAAATTGTCAATTATCCCAGTGCAGACTTGGTCCAATTCATTACTCCCCTTCCCCACTGGGTGCGTGTAGTGGTTCCTGAGGTGCGCCTCAAGTTGTTAATATGAGCCTGAGTCCAAGATTTCCTCTGTTTTTTTTTCGGCGGCGCCGCCATCTGATGGAAACTCCCTCGGCATGATCCTTCTCACGGGGCCTAGAAGTGTGGCGCTATGCTGGAAAGGACCAAAGCCACGAAGCTTCTTTGCAAGGGAGTCCCCTCTCGCTTTTAATGTTGTCTTGTTCATGCGGGATTTCATCTCATCACACGGCTAACTATCTCCACCCACCCCATGGCCATAGGTTCCATAGCGCCGCATCAGCGGTATTGTCTTGACCATTTCAATCATTCGTCATAGATGGTTATGCCCACACTTTGGTCTCATTGGGGAACTCATTCCTGCTCCAATTGCGCGTGTAGCCCCGTTTTCGACAATCCACACCATCGATATCCAAATTCCCCTGAAATATGCGTCTTGGAAATCAACCGAGTGCCGCGCGCACTGCACCTTCGTGGATTCTCGATACTTGAACTAGTCCACCGGTTCCAGTAGCAGTACCGGGCGCCTCGAGCTATTGGATCATTGTGTCTTTCCCCTTTAGCCTTCCTCGCCATTTCCTGGGTGGACTGCCAGTGTGCGCAGTCGCACCGTTTGTAACTAGAGGTTGTTCTACTCCGCCAATTTGGAACAGTTTGGAATCCTCGTCCAGTGCTGTATACTACGCCCTGATCGGTGCCGCTGAACATAAGCCAAAGGTTTGGTCAGTCTTAGGGGGACGGGTGCCTCAGCATAGTTGGTAGCACTCCAAAAGAAGGCACGACTGCTGGGGACAGTCGCGCTGGACTGAAGGTTGTGTGTCATAATGCCATATTTCCTCTTAGGGGGGTTCTAGAGATCGTTTGACAAGTTGTCCAGGGTGAGAAACTTGTGCTGGCAGATATCGGGGAACTCGAACTCATTCTTGGTATTTCCCAATTGGTTTCTCACCCTTCGGATTGCTGCGGTGTTGGGGATCGCCCACGATGTGAGGTGCGATTTGGGTGCTTGTCTGGTTCCTGGGTAGTGCGAAATGCTTCGAAATCTCGCACGCCCGATGTTTGTGCCTTCAAGGCCACTGCTGTGGGACTCAGGCCTTAGTCCTAAGTACAGGTCCTCACCATGCCAACAAATGAACATGAGCAAGGCGGATTTGGCGGGTACGTTATTGAACTCAATGACACGGACCCTTCTACCCCTTCAACTTGCCCACACTCTCGACCGGATTCTGTTCTTTACTGACATACGCTGAGTCTCCCCAATAAATATTGGCGCTTCCAAAAAACACTGCATTTGATCAACAAAACTATAACATTGTGATTACTCGTTTTGCTGAAGGTTTCAAGACTCAGCCGGAATTTGAATCTTTATTTCTGGTGTTACTTTTCACTCTTCCCCTAGAAAAGGATCATATACGCCCCGAATTCTGGGTCTATGGCCCCTGGTCGACATGCCCATTTCACGATCTCTCATCAAGTGTGGAGAATTAGGTACTTTAATGAGCTCCACTTTTGCGACCGGGAGGGCCCTAATGGTTCACAAGTAGTGTCAAGTGGTAGCTGCATCTCAAGTTGCGTTGACACATTGTCCTTGCCAGTGTCCGCTCTTGTGGAAGCCACCCATTTATCCTATCTGATAGCCTACTGTATTTTACATCAGGTGGGTTCCCAGATACTATTGCACCGGGCTATGGCTGGGTGCGGGGGGGGGCTTCATTATCTATTGAGTATTTACCAACCACTCCTCGACTAGGCAGCACTACTGGCAACCTGCCACGAACTCTACCAAATTGTTCTGTTTGAATAGCTACCGATGAAGTCAGTCAGTCAGAATTTGACCAATGATTCGCCTCGGGTTTCACAGCAAAGCATCATTGCGGGCGGTGCCTCGGAAATTCGCTGGAACTACGCTGATACAACACCCCGCCCCTTTAAAATTCAGAAATCATCTCGAAATTTGTCCCTACGCGGCACCCAGAATGGATGGAAAAAGGACAGGCCATCACTACACAATGCATCACGATTTCGATATCCTTACCTACCTGCGTGTCAATTTCAAAGACTTCACCCTAGATGGCAATCCGCCACTCTTAGAATACCCACTCGACGATTACCGTATTCGTATGTTACCTGAAGCGATCCTTAGTGCCCTTGATATCTTTCCCCTCGAGATCCTTGACATGACTTTGCACTCTTTAAGTATTTTCGATGCGTAAATAGACGCATTTACGGAGTCATTTCTCGACAATCGATTACAAATACGCAGCCGATCCATTGCACGATGTTTTGACTATCAAGACCGGCTGGATTACTTGTGAGACTCTGCAAAAAACTCTGCATGGCCGATTTTGGCTCTACATTCTTACATACATTCGCGTTTGTTTCTTGTGCTTTTCACAGGATGCACGATCCCTACGGCTGCGGTATAGTTATGCAATCCGGAAATCCGGGCAGATCCTTGACATGTTGCCAAAGTAGATTCTCACTTTAGATAGCGCATGTCGTGCGGGCATTGCTTTGCATGGTTCTACCAACGCCATGGAACAATACCTGTCATGTATAGCGGCTCAAAAATTACGAGCTGGCAATAAGAGAGCTCAAGAAGTGACAGGTCAAGCCGGCCTTGACGACCCCGGATGGGGATCCTTCCGATGGACGATTAGAGCAGGCTAAGTAGCTGTTGAATTTCCAACATAGTCTCCTGTTTTTTGGGCATTCTAAAACGGTGGCCAAGTATTTCTGCTGGGCAGGAGAATATTTCTTGCGGAAGACTTGCTCTTCCTCCAGAACTCCAGGATTGGGGGTTCATCAGGAGGGGAAGAGCATATGGGGATCTGGGATAGTTCCGGACCCGGGGAGGATGGTAGGAGCCTGTGACGGCTCAGGGCTTGTCGAAGCGCTGCGCGCTTGCAGCCTGCAGGTACCAAACTGCGTCAACCTGGAGTGGAACCGGTTGGGAGATGGTCATTTGGACCGTCTCTAACATTTCAAAATGAAAGGAAATGGAAGGGGCTGGGTTCAACAATCCCAGAGAAACTCGAAGCGCAGGGCGCTTTCCGTGAGTTAGCAGTTCCACAGGAGCCAGACTGCCATCAATTTGGCCTGGAACCGACGCAGGACGTGTTGCCTGCATCATTCCTAGGCGTACAGATGACGCTTGTTCCCTGGGAACAGTGGTAGGGACTACTGGGCGATTTAACCTGGAAAAGGTCAAAGTGCGGGGGGTGCTCAGTGAGCTGGCACCCAGCCCGGGCTGGTAAACGATTCTCCCTACTTAGAACAGGTGGGGAAGTGGCCGTAGGGACCACCACTGGCCTCTTGGGACGAGAGGAAAGAGTAGGTAGGGGCTGTGGATCTGACAGCCCCAGAGGAAGTCGAAGCACGGGGCGCTTCGGTGAGCTGGCACTCAGCAGATGCTGAGGTACCATTATTCCCCCGTGGAATTGGTGGGGAGATGGTCATGTGGATGGTCCTTGGCCTCTCAGAACGAGAGGGGTTGGGGTTCCGGAAGGTGTGCGGAAAGTAAAGTGGAATGACCAAGGTGGAAGGTGCGGACTACGCGTAATAGAGTCTGGGCATGTAGATGACCAGGGGGTCAGGAAAAGAGCAACATACACGTGCGAGAAGCTTGAAGGTGGGAAAAAAGTTAGGTAATTCCGGACTCCTTGCAAGCAAGGTAATTTCACCCGCTAATACATCGTTTGACAGCTGCTCGCATCTTTTCGTACGTATTATGAGGGTGGACCCAACTCAAATGATCGCTTTTTCCTCCGTTAACTCCGAATTCGACAAGTGCCGCGAAAGCGCTGATAGATTCCCAAATCGGGCACCTCAATCACACCAAGGAATCATTCAGGGACGGACCTTGGTCCTCGCAGTGAGCCTCGTTTCCGAGCCGCTTTCACAATGGATCTAGAGGACGTAGGGGAGCTGAAATACTCTTGCAAAGAAGGGCCTGTCATCAGCACTGTCGCCCCAAGCCATATCCGGGAGCTTTTGATCTCCCGAACACCCTACACGTGGTCTACTGCTGGCGAGCTTGGTATCGCAGCGGTAAAAAGGCAGTTGGAGGTTTATGAAGAGTCTCTTAAGGATGTAGAGGATCAGAAAAAGCTTTCCGCGGATGCATCGCTGTTTGATGCAGTGGCCACGAAAATCGCAACGTCCCTCAATGTTGACCCGTCGGATGACATCAAAGCTATTATGTCCCTTCCACAATCTGTACTGGTAAGCTATTAGGATTATTTTGCTCCTTCCTCCAGCTACTATTTAATGATGTAGCGTAGGGCCGTAGGAAGATGGGATAAGTTGCCATATCACGCCTTCTGCATTGCGAGGCGGTCTGCTGAGGGCGCAGTGGATGGAGGTCTAACTGAGCGGCTTGACGCTGAGGCTGGGGGGGCGCTTAGCTCCGACGTTGATGAATGGTGGGCCTTTTTTCTGTCATTTCGTCATGGACTCGAACGGTTCACACTCCTGCAGGATCCTCCGCAACGAGGCATGGCTGAGAAATAGTCAGGAACCCAAAGACTGGTCGCGAGGGCTCGTTCGATTCTCTCAGCACGCAAATGCTGTCTTTCAGGATTCTACTCTCTCTGTTAATGCAAGGGTGCTCAGTCGTTCTTCGATGAGTGGCTATAAGATTTTAGACAGGAATCGAGCGTCCTCGATAAAGATCCAGCCAAATATTGGCGCCTTTGCTAGCGTCTTCAGTGTACTCAGTGATGGTCTTTTGAAAGGCGTGGACTGGAATAATGTCTTTGCTGCAGGAGGAATCGCTCTCTCCTCGCTGCTCTGCACAGATGTCAAAGCGGACGCTCTCATTTTTAAGAACTCCGACATAGATCTCTATATTCATGGGCTCGGGCCAACTGAGGCTAACAAGAAAATTCAGCACATCTATGACGTCTGGAAGTCAAACTTGCCCAAGGACGCTGATTCCAGGGTTGCACGGAACTCACGAACGGTTTGTTGTTACCTGGGGGCCCACTATGTTGCTGCCGTCTCAACAGCTTACTCATGCAGATCACCCTCTTTGGGCCTTATCCTACGCGGCGAATCCAAATTGTCTTGAAGTTGGTTCGAGATCCGAAAGAGATCCTTCTGAATTTCGACCTCGATATCTGTTCCATGGGATGGGACGGAAAAGAGCTCTATCTTCTTCCACGAGCCGCTCGCGCCCTTCAGAGTAAGCTCATTTTCTCCCGATACCCACACATTTGTTCCTCAGACTTAGTAGCGGGTTACAATGTCTTTACGATGAATCTTATTAATGGACATTACCTGGGAGAGCGAAGGGCAAGTCAAGAAGAGAGGTATTCCATTTTAGTCGCCGACGTTAACACTGTTTTGATTCTCTTTAGGGTTTTCAAATATGCGGACAGAGTACGAAAGTCACATGAAGCCCGCTCCTTATCTAACTGTTCCCTTTCAAGGGTTATGGGATCCGTTTTCTCCCCAGCTACGTTGATTCACTCCCCAGGGACGAGCAGGCTCTCGACGTGTTGAGTCTTGGCCAAGAAATGCAGCATACGGACATGAACAGGATCTCAAGAAATTCGGAGTGTTGGATTACCAAGCTCTTAAATATGTTGGTGGAGCCATTTTTATGAATGTCACATACTGACTGCAGGATCAAGTCGATTCTTCAACGGGAATCCACTGGACTTAAAGGGGCCGAAACCGGCGTTGTCTCATGCCTCTATTTCTGAAATTTCATGGAATTCCACAGATACACAAGGTCGAAGTTGCTTGTCCAGCTTTGAGCGCCTCATGCGGCACGTCTGGCTCTGGGGGCGCGCGTGCGATGGTGACATTATGTGAGCACGTCTTTTTATACCAGGGTATCTCTTACTCCTTGACTTAGTCTCGACAACACAACATTCGCCTCCGTCGATTACACAGAAAATTCCAGTCCTGTGGGATACGATGAAACCCCCCATTATGCCTGGAATGAGAAGTTCAAGTTTGCTGATTTCGAGTCCGCTATTTTTCATGTGAACGAAAAGGAGCTAGACCAACTTGAAAACAATATGTCAGAATGCGGGTACCCGACGAGATGGAATGGCCTCCGTATGTGATGCGTGCGCTTCTCGTTACAGCACTCAATTTCTCTGACCAGACCCACGCGCAGGCTCGAGATTCGAGGAGATAGTTGTGGATGCAAACAAGGTTGGACGCATGGTAATCGGAAAATCATTGGAGAAGGTCCTGGGCTCCGAGGGAGACTTTCTTATCCCTCTGTGGCTCCCAGAGGATTTCGTCTCCTTTGCTAATGAAACAATTAAGAACTCTCTGGCCGCTCATCACTTGCCGGTGGACATTGAACCACTATGTCTCATATCAAACCAACCTCTTCAGGACACCGATGCGTCCGGAAATCTGAGGCCGTACTACTGGCATATTGACCGAGTGTGTGCATGGCAAAAGATAGATCGGCGAATCGACGAGTAAGCACTTTTTGCGAACCTGGGACATTGTACGTATGATATTGCATCCAGAATATTTGAAGTCCTTTGGGCGTTCCATTCCGCCAATGCCACGCTCGCTGCATTACCGGAAGAACGGATGTTGTCCTTCATTACCCAGCTTTCTAAGAGAGCCATCCGGAAAGGTCCGGATGATGAGATGGCCAGCTTTGCTCGCTGGGTTGGGCGAGTCCCAGGTCAAATGCGCTTCTCATACTCGTGAGTAACTTAATGGCTAATCCATTGTGATGCTTATAATCCATTGCGCCACAGTGACAACTGGTACAATATGGAATATAATGATGAAGATGACGAATGGGCATGGTGAATCTGTGTTGAATCTGGGGAAAGTTTGGGTGTACACTAGTTAAACGTGGCAGGGGATTCCAGCAGATTGTAGGACATTTGAGATGTCCGGGTTCCAAATTCACAAAATGATTCAAACAGTCAGCTACATTGATGTTGACGTGACTTCCTAGGCTGGGGGAGAGACTCCAAGTGGAGGTGACTGCACCGCGATAGGTGTGCCTCCTGAACCAACGGTACCTGCGTGACGATACATGTCAGCGCCGAGCACATTCTCTATAGCATGAAACCGCTAAACACAAACGTTTCTTTTTCCTCCTTCTCTCTGGCCAGCCTGGGGTGCCAGGGTCGGAACGGTTTGGTGTCGACTCTTGTGTTCTAGGTGTAGATGCTTTAAGCATCTCACCCGAACCCCCTGACCCAGGCTCAGTACGAATGTATGGGGACACAGTATTAGAGAAGTGTATCGAGTTTATTCCTATAAACCTCTGCTGTTGGGGATTGAGTGGAGATGTAGGCGAAGCAGAGACAAGTGACGGGCTATCCATAGAGTGTGCAATTTCCATAACGTTTCGAATCTTTCGGGATGGAGTATCAGCATCCGATAAGGCGAGGCCGGTGCTCGTGGGAGGTCTAGCTGGAGGCGAAGCAGCCAGTATATGAACAGCAGTAGTTCGTATTGCGTGCAGAAGTGGAAGAGTCACGACATTTGTGGACGAGGACGCGTCCCCCATTTGTGCGCGAGCAGACGGTTGTACGCTTCCCCCCCTAGTGACGGATCCAGCAGGTCCTGGAGTACCGGTGTCCAATGGAGTACCAGCAGCGTGGGAGATGCCATCTTCAGCACCTGCGGCACTAACTAACTTTTTTGAGGATGACGTGACGAATGCAGAGGTTGGGTCGAATGAAACAGGCCATACGTGTCCTTTCTTAGGGGTGAAGGCAGGCTTGTGTTGGCGAAGGATAGACATTGAGGACATCAATGCGTGTAACGAAGCGTTCTAATCGTGCTGTTGCTCGATTAATGGATTCAGGGAGTGGAAGGACGTAACAGTACCATACGATTCGCGATGAGAGCGTAAAGATTTGGTGATTGCTGGATTCGATTGTTGATAAGGTAGTACACTTCAAGGGGGCGAACTGCACAATATGCCCATTGGCGTACTACGGGAATGGGGAGAAAAGCCATCGGGCTGACCTTCGTCTGGAGACAATCTTTCTCGTTTGTGAAGTATGAACAACGATGGGGGTTCTGAATGCACGACAGCAAACTCTAGCCCCGTGAACTTTCTTACCACTACTAATTAGCATGATTGTATAGCTATTAGCGATGTGCTGGCGTACATACTTTAACTCCTCTCGCTCATTCATTTCCGCCCCATTCTCATTCCCTACGTTTTGCATGCGAAGAATCTGATTGTTTGAAGGGGGTTCTGTGCGATACCATGGAGAGAACGTGAAATATTCCATCGCCGAGCGCTCATCAAGCGGCGCCATTGCCTAATGCCATAATCTATGAACTACTTCAACTGGATAACACAAGCTTCAACCAGCGTACCGCTATGAACTCGGGGAAGAAGAACGACTGCTCGCTGTAATCGTCCGCGGGAGTGGACATAATCTAAACGATTACAATCCTTTAAATCCCAATCATTGAGGATTAACGTGAGGGCGACTCACTCAGGCACTGGTGCAACACCATGTGGCGGTGCAGCGTCCGAGCATTGTGATGGCTCAGAAGGAGAGAACACTGTTAGCTGTCATTGGAGACGAGGTGTTCCCTAGCGATAGGCGCCAATGATTGTGTGAACCTGATTCTTCTTCCAACATCTTAGGATACAGTGACTGGTGTCCTCCTCGCTGGAATTGGCCACGTCGATGAACGACAAAAAAAGAACTTCTTGGTAGTTGATAGTAGTACGTTCATTATCCTTCCACTCCGTAACAATGGAGTTTCACTCTATTGTCTACAAGAAACGCAGGTCTCCGTCATTGAATCGACATTTCAGGAGTTCACTGAGCGGAATGATGTTGCCATCCTGCTCATCAATCAACATGTAAGATTCAATATCGATATAATTGCGGCCGCAGCTACCCTTCTTTCTTTCTCTTCAGGTTGCCGAGAAGATTCGACCCACAGTTGACCGATACACCCAGGCGTTCCCCGCGTTACTTGAAATACCGAGCAAGGATCACCCATACGGTAGGTCATTTCGATCATGCATGTATTAGACATCCTCCATCCTGATCACCGATCACACTTTGCATGAAATTTCCGTCCTTGAATACATGACCATTCTCGTTGGTCACATCAACCCAATCGTTTTATTTCCCCAGATCCTGACAAGGATTCCGTACTAAAGCGTGTTCACAAACTCATCGGAGAATAAATTTCAATGGCGCATGTCCTTATGCAGGTGCAATAATTATATCCAGCGAGCCCGCACGTATTGCCCCCAATCATCTTTGGACAGGTCGCCCGAATCCTCTCTTACTCTGACGAGTACCTTGCCTAGGACAGATGCTATGGACGTATAATATATACGTGTTACACTAAACCCAGCCATCTGCACGGTATCTTGGTACAGGCTACCAGCCACGGAGCCGCTTGCACTTCGGAAAAAAGAGCATACAGTCATGCACTAGCATGCGCTTCGAGACGTGCCCGCAAAGACAGAGGTTAGGTCACAGCATTGGCCAGCAACTCACTCTGGTGCCGACGCAACAGGGGCTCCAGAATGCATTTGACATATTTGCTGTCCGGCATGTCTGAGAATGGGTTTCAGCATTTGCATTTCTCTGGGTTTGGAACACACGGCTGAATCTACCTTGGCCAACTTTGAAAACCAAGATAGTAGAATACCGAAGGCGAAAAATCAAAAGGAAAGACGTGGAATTTAGGGGGAAGTGACCAAATGTCAAAGTCTGTTCACAACCATGGTGGAATGAACCATCACTACTCGTCTCGGTGGAGAGGATATCCTCGAGCCATGATAATCAGTGAATCTAGTCATCGGTAAACAACACCATCAATCTGCCTGGATTCTGGGAGATCGAAGGGAAGGGAAACTCGGGCTTGGCCACCATGCGGGACAGGGGTATCGCTACGCGCAGCGCGTTGGGATAATGCTTGAGTTCTAGAGAGACAGCATCGCCAGATGATGTCGTCCAGCGAGTCAACAAACGAAATAGGGTGACATCACGGGGGTCCTTCGAAGATTGAGTGCTGAAAATCCCAGTGGAAAAGTTGACTTCTTAAACTCGGTTGCTCGGCAGACTTGCACATTAAAGGGGGGGAACGGGGACCGGTCTGCGACCCGCAAGTAACGACTTATCTACCAAGAACTGGGACTGGGGAAACTTTGATACCTCGATCTAGATTAGGCAGGTGACCAGCCTCGAGATAAGTAAACGTCGGACCCCTCCTTGAAAAGGCCTAAGCATAATCCCAGCT